CCGCGCTCTCCAGTAATTGATTTTTATATCTCCTCCAATGTTGACAGAATTTTATCCAAAGCTAATTTTGAAGCTGAATAATAACGTAATTATGTCAAGTTTGTGTTCACAAAGAATAATGTAAAGTAGCCACCCGCGTATTAACTTTACCGTCTGGAAATATGTAGGGAAACACCGCGGGCAACCAATCTCGCAATGTATGTGGGGAGGTAGTTATAACGTGGCAGTCAATAAAAGAGTGCTCAATTCCTCGTATGATTATCCGGGGTTACAGTCGGCAGCTCCAATACTCCTCTCTATCTGATTATTTGAACCGAATTTGGAATATAAGCGCATTCGCGGTAATCTCTTATTCGTTGGATATATTATTACTCAGCATTTATCTATAATATCATAATATGCTAGTTCTTCCACTATACTGGAGCTATAAGTTCATATCATTCATAAGCAGCTTATTGTTAGATATAAAATGCAGGCAATAAAAATGATTTTGATGATATATAAAAGTCACAATGTGTGTTTGAAAAACGATGTACACGGATAAAACAACAAGTTCACACATTTTTTGTCTGTTCGGGCGGTAAAAAGTTCAATGTTTACGGCGGGCGGTGTGTTCCTCTGCGAACCTACAAGCGACCGTAAAACTCGGCAGTGTCCACAGCCGAGCCGCAACCGTCCCGCGACCGCCCCGCAGCCGGGCCGCAGCCGGGCCGCAGCCGGGCCGCGCACCCGAGCGACCTGCTCGTAGGCACAGAATGTAATTTGGCTGCAACTTAGTTGTTAAAGTCACAAGTGTACACTAAGTACATTATACGACACCTCTTCACCACACCGAATGAAAACATTATTTTTATGGCCTCGCTGGGATAGATACAATGAAGACTCTTCGTGATCACTTGTTTCCATTAATATGACACCAATTTAAAACGAATTAAAGTGTAAATTCCCTTAAGTAAAATCAATTTGATCGTAGCTACAGCGGTACCACAAACACATTGAACCATTGCGGTGCGCGGCGCTACGAGGGTGGAACCGCACTGGGTCAAGGGGGAGCCTATCACACAGCCTTCCATGAAAGGGCTCTACTATTGTTCAACGAGTTTGCATGTTTCGCCATGCGATGATTATTGCCAAGCTATAAAATGTTCTATAATGGCCACAAATTAGTGCAAGAATGTTGCAAGTGTAAAATATTCGCAGGACAATTTATATTTCCGCGGCGCTAGGCTGGCCCTCTAGCGGAGTGCACCGAGCTTAAACGTATGTAAAGTGGTCGGCAAAGGAGCGGCGCGGGCGCGGTGCGGGTGCGGTGCGGCCGAGTGACGCGGCGTAATTGAAACTGTGCAGCATAATAGCTGCTCGCCTGCACGACGCACTGAATTACTGCTAAATTACACACCTATTAGGTGCCGGCGAAAGAAACGAATGCTGCGCCGGATTTATTAAAATTCAGCCTTTCAAGCTGTAATTGTTTTAAAATGTTACGTCGCTACTCGCTCCCATGAACTGTATTATTAGGAACTGTAAAGGCTTCCAGTCCGAGTTCTCGCAAACTTTATTAAGTTGCTGCACGAAACTATTTTTCTCATAAAATATTTTTAATGGTATTTAATTATTCCGCTAAACTCTATGAGTAGTTTGTCTACGAAACAATCTGCACTCTCTGCTGGGATCAGCTTATACATAGGTTTGTATTAGAGCCCGGTGCGGGTAGCGCGGCCACATATAATTACAAAGTTGAAAGTTATTTCCTGTATTCCGGAACTCATTCCGTTTTATTACACAACGTCATGATGTGATGAAACGGCTGGCGCAATATTTCTTGGTGGAAGTATAGGTTGCTCTCACAGCACTCGTCGGTAACAACGGTTTGCGAATGTTGAACACGGCCATTTTAAACAGTTAGCAGTTAGTGGCGCGGCCGCACTAACTCGCTGCGGGCATGCGAGCCCCCGCGCCCCCGCGCCCCCGCCCGCGCCCCGCGCCTTGCCGCCGCCCGCCGCTCATAACACCAATTCTCCCAAATTGTAGACCTTTCGAGGGCTCCGCTGTAGCCGCATTCGTCGAATAACTGGACAAAACGTATGAAGCTAGAATGTTAATTTTTTCCCCTCCGCATCGTAATTTCACGTCGTAAAGTATTCGCAGCGCTCACGTATTACGGTATTACAGTATAATACGCTAAATAACAAATGATACGTTGCCAAAACATATGGCGGCCATTCCGACCGCTTTGAATTTTAACAACAGCTCTGTTCTGATGCATGGCGAGGAACTTCCGAGTTGATAACTCCAATTTAAGTATTATTATCGTAATGTGAGACTCATTCCTTCGCCTCCATCAATGGTAGCATCCAAAATATCATTTCTGAGCAAACAATACATTCCTCGCGATCAGTCACAATGAAATCCGTTCGTACGGTTTGCCTATTATATTATCTGCGGAGCTCTCATCTCCGGAACGCAGATTAAATACGTACAATACGGTAGCTAATTAATTTAATTAGGAGCCGGTGAAGGAACATGTCGCCTCGGAACCGACGCGCGACACACCGCGCTACGAGACGCGACGCCGGCAGCACAGTAAGCCACGCCAACACGTGAGATGCTAATCCAGAATTCTTCCACGATTTAATTAGAACGAGTCATGACAAAAGATCCTGGATTTAACATGACTCAGTATTGTGTACGACCGCGGCACAAGTACCTACGGCTTACATGCTTCATATCTTGTATTTCTCTCCTCCACACACGTGTACGCATAATCTCTTTACCTTTGCATCATTATCTTGTATATTTTTCCCGCTTTTATTTATTTCTTTCATAATGTTTTAGTTACACTAGATCGCTTTGATATCATTCGAAAAGTACAATCTTCGTTACCTAGTGACTTACGGTTACTCTTAATAAGCTACCTGTCATGTCGGCCCTTTAACACTAACTTAAAATATTATTTTGGTATGGGTATTTAGTATGAAGCTTCTGTTAATGTAAAAATATTTATATTTTCCTTTAGTACCAATAAAAGTTGTTTCCTTTTGAAACACGTGCTCTGAGTTTATCAGTAGAACCACAACAATAGAGGCTGGGAACGCGACGGTTCAAACAGGTATCCGTGGCGACCGCCCGCACCGGCCGGTGCTTGCATAATCTCATCTCTCATTTATACAGGTACTATCATCAAAACTCATCAATCCTTAGTACATCATTTTGCCCAAACTCAGGGAAAATTTCAACAAAATTGAATCAGCGGTTCTGAAGAGATGTTACCTTTATAAGTAGAGATAAGAGCCCGAGCCGAGCCGCAGGTATAACTTATATCAGAGGAGGTACTCGACGCCGCTCTCTTTGAGAATCCCTCCTTAATTAGCTATGTATTAATTAGCAAAAGGCAAAATCTTAGATGGTCGTTTCCTCTCATTGTTCAGGAAGCTTCGCCTCGTTCTAAGCACTGGCTTTCATTGAAACGGTTTTTATATTTTAAAACATACGCTATTCGGAGTATTGCATTGTTCCGAGAATTAAGAATAATTTATTTAATGAGACAGATGTTCTGTATAAATATATCTTTTCATTAATGAATTAAAGCACCGTTTTTCCTGTATAAAAGGTAGGTAATCTTTTTGAATAAAAACGAGTCAAGTAATTGTAGACATATTTTCATAAATAATTAGGTAGGTTGCTGTTTGGAAACTACATTACATAATATTGTTTTAGAAAAATAATAATTTGAATCCGCTTTGGCTCCAACATGTAGGTAGATCAAACATCAAAGCCGAAACAAATTACCATCTCAAAATAAATATCGAATCACTAAACATTGAACATGAAAATAGAAAAGCGAAAAAATAACATAATCCTCGTGGCGACGTCAAGTAGCGAACGGGAACAAAATTAAGTGTCAGAAGCAGTACATAAATCTTATCAGGGAGCACACGCTCTGTGATTTTAAACAATCATGTTGCGAAGCCGAATGCCGAAAAAAGTACAACCACCACAATAGCTCCCGTCGCTTGGAAATATGAGTTATGGTGCGCCCGAGTGCGACCACTGGGCCGCGGGGGAGGGGGGAGGGGGGGGCGGCGGCGTGTTATACGTGTTACATACACGTTATCGTTTAAGCTTTTTTCTTTTTCCCCTTTGATGTAACAAACGTCAGTGATTGCGACAAGGTGAGTGAAATGTCACCGACTCAAAGCGTGTTTGTTCTATGGTGGAGCAGGCGGGGGCGGCGGCAACTGACTCGGGGCTCGGGATTGTTGCTGGTTTGTGGTGTGATCATTTCTCAAGGCGACATAAGTTTACCTAACAGTACGCCATACTGTCACGCACTAATCACACTGCGACTACGTTCAAACTCGAGTACTAACCGAGACTTGTACCAACTTTACTGAACATGCGTTAAACACCTAATTTCTAATTTACTTTATCAATATTCCATTTAATTACGCGCCTTTGTATTGGTTTTGATATGAAAACATCACATTGCAACGGTTCCGCCGTGATTACCGCAGATTGTTTGTGTCGGTGCGCGTTCGAAAAACAACAAACAGTGCGCGAACACAATCATTGGTTTATTAATCAGCCGGTAACGTAATTATCGTAATTACACGTGCTGGTCGGCAGCCGGTCACTAATCACTGGCTATGGTTATTTGCCGACCACTACCTAATGCGCTGACTTGTGCCACCTCGCGACTAAAGCAATAGCACTCGCGCCTTGTGCTAAAACTCGTGTGATGTGTTAAAATGTCTACTTTTGACTGAGCAAAATATTTCCCAGAATTAAAAAATGAATCTGTTGTAAGTTCACTTGTGCCAGAACTCCTTTCGAAGAATTTTAGATGTTCTGTTTACATAAATGTGTACGAAGTATTCGCAGCACCTTTACACCGAGTGGGACTTGGATATTGCTAACTAAGCATAAATAAGTTTCACAATAAATACAAAGGAATAAAACGTTAAGCGTAGTTTCTTTCTAAAATCGTGTTGTTGTATGTCTCAGGCTAGGAGGCTGCGAGGTGGGCTCATCGAGTTACCAGGTCCCGGGGGCTGGGAGCCGGGGGCGCCGGGGTCGGGGGCCGCCGGCTGCATCCTACAATCGCGTAAAACAATAACATTTCCATTTCCTTCAAATGTTTGTATTCTGTCTCTGCGTGGACGGACCAAGCACTACAGCTTAGAACTGGAAAATATAGCATTTTATTTAAACTAACATGTACAAGCATTTGTTGGTACACTTTGACAGAATTCGTCCGAATGTAAGCCTAAAGAGACTGTATTTTCCTAACAGCTTTGTATAAAGTTAATCCCCGTACAGGTAGACACTATATTATTAATAGTAGAAGAAACTATAGCGTACCACCTACTACAAATTTTACTACACTTTTTTAGCTATCATCACATTCATACATCTTGTAATACAAATATTTACAGATGGATCAACTTTAAATTCATATTTCGGCAGATGAAGCCGAAGAGAGACAAAATAACATAACATAACATCACGCCTTTTATCCCAGGCAGATGTACATTATGCCACTGTACAATGTAACCACTTTTCACTATTTATGTTATGAGTCCCATGTAATAGGGGGTGAGCCTATTGCCATATACCGGGCACGATTCCAGACTCTGTGCTACTACTGAAATTATTTTAAAAACCAAGTAGTACGTTGCCCGGCCCGGAACCCGAAACCCCTTGCCCGGCAGTCGCACTTGCGACCACTTTGCCAACGAGGCATTCTACGGAGACAAAATAATACCTACCTGAGGTAATGCTTAATACTAAAATTAAATATACTTAATTGATTGAATAACATACAAATGGCCTTACCATACTGTGTTTCTAAACAAAATAATTTTGTTGTTATTTCATGCAAAATAACACAAAATATAAACCAGATACATATGTAGTACCTATTCCAGTATAAATTGAATGTCATGTCAAACAATAGACGTGCTTGCAATTATTTTCATTGCGATAATTAAACCTAGTTAGTACAACTAAACTAATGACTGTAATTTAATACTATTCCAAAATAAATCTACTATGTACATATGTATGTGTGTAAATATAATAAAATAAATGATGATCAACAAGATAGGTCTTTTGAAATTGTGTTTCATTATATTTAATTTGTCTATCGAAGCATCGAAGCAAAGCGCAGCGTATCATTATTTTGTCTATGTATAAAGGTTTCTGTTAATGTTTTAGTTAATATTGCATCTCAAGAAAATCTGTCGTCAATTACACAAATTTAAATGTATTATAATTAGAACACTAGACCAGCATTATGTTTGAATTGAATCCCAAGGCTACTCCCAAAAGTAAAGTGAAAATATTCACACACTTCTCAATTATCTAGCCTCCTCAAACACGTTCGTTTCGCTGTTGAAAAAAGTTGTTGAAAGTGTTCGTAAGATATCAGTAAATACAAACGGAACCGACACAAATAACAGTTAGTGTTATACGGTCTGTCTGTCTGTGCCGTAGATCCGCGCCGACGATACAATTCATTTCCTCGCGATATCTCGGGGCTGGAGGCGCTGTACAACGGCGACGTAATAACGGCAGTTTGTAATGAAATAATAATTGAGTCTCAGCTGCGAGCACGCCTTAGTTTATTTATCAAAAGACAATATTAGGACTTTGAAGGATCCAACGGGGAATTATTACAGAGTAATCCGCCAGATGACGCTCCTAGTTTTATATCATTTATATTGGTTTACTGCGAAATATTTTGGTAGCTTGCGATTGTCAAGACATTTTGCACTAATTACATCAAAGGAGACAATTATAAATTATGCCCGTATTTTGGAATTTACCTCATTCTTGCGAAATACAATTTACTTTATCTCTACGAAAATATCGGCGTTCAGATGTCGCTCACTGCGACTAAGTATTCAATCCTTTTTAGCGAGTACCAATAACGAAGGAAAGGCTTCCTTCAGCCGCTCGCAGACTCTATTCACTAGATCGATTTCTCAGTTGATAAGGAAAAGCGGATTTTCTGTATATCACTTCTTATCACATCCCTCACGACCCATAAAAATATTTTCCGTCCATAATTCTTCGGCGGCATTGGGCCATGAGCGTGTGAGCAGTTAGAGTCCCCATCAGAGTGTCGCCGCTTATCGGCAGCGCGTCCACTGCGGCGTCACAATGATTAACGAGCTGCTAAACCGAGACAAAGCCGTCGTTGGTACTGCACAATGCCCACGCTGCCCACTGCCTATAAAGATATATCACACTGTCTTGTACTTTGTGGCCGTTTTATCAAACTAGCCGCTGGGGTGCACGACACGATACTTTTATATGCAATGCTCGGACTTCTTGCAATATGTATCACTTTGCTGTAAGTTTTAAAGTTTATAGCATATTGGCAAACTGGGAGCCATCCATAGCGTTCCAGTTCAAAACTCACACAGTATGGATGATACTACACATGATTATACATCGGAAGTATTATGCGTCGATACTGCGTGTAATGAGATGGTTTTAGTTATTAACGATTTCTCAGTTTGACTGATAAGGTTACGTTTGCGATAATTTCGTGTTTTAAAAATCGGTTACAAATTGCAACCCTTTACAAGTGAGGTGAACCCTACTTACAAAGCCCGGTCAAAGAACAATCTTCGTTATTTGAGCACAACCCCAAAAATAAATATAATATTTTGTAAATTAAAAAATACGATCGAGTGGATATTGCAGTTAAGTTGAACACGAGCCAACTCAATAACATCGATAGCCATCGCTACACAAAGAACCCGCCGATATGATCCAGTAATCCGTGTAACATATAATCGAATATCTGAGGGGGCTTAGTGCCACCAAATTAATGATCAAATTAATCCACAGAAGTGGCGTGGTGGAAGTCTCCATCGCTTGAAATTTCGTACCAATCTTCAAGCTATAACTTTTCGGATAAATTTTGAGCTTCATAATCCGAGATCGGAACTAATTTATGGAGTGGCCCAATTCTGTGTGACCTCTTAGTAAAATAACGCGCTGTACAATGGGGCTTATGTTATCGGCCATGGGAATCTGAGCGGGCGTAGGAGGCGGATCGTTAACGCCGTTTCTTATGGGGTTGAATTACAACACAGATTTATATTCTACTCTAATGATAATGGCAAGTGTGGACTCCATAGAAAGCACCTATTATACCGGGATGGCTGCGGATCACTGCGGTAACAGTTGAATCAGCAGTGTCATGTAGTATTACGAATCCGTATTACTTACCATCAATGTATATGTTACCGGCCAAACCCGATTTCAGGACAAACTAGTTTTGCCTAGGCCAAACTAGTTCTTCCTATACGCATTAGGATTAACTAGTATAGCCTAGTTCAAACTAATTTGGCCTAAGCCCGATAGGATAAACCAGTTTAGGCTAGGACAAACTAGTTGATCCTGATATAAAGGAATACGCACATTCTAGGATAAACTGGTATGGCGTAGCCATAGTATGATTATTGCGTTTATTAAAAAACAGGGTGACTGCCTCGTTAGCCAAGTGGTAGCAAATGCGACTGCCGGGCAGGGGATCTCGGGTTCGATTCCCGGGTCGGGCAACGTTTAACTGGGTTTTTAAAAAAAATTCTCAGTAGTAGCACGGAGTCTGGAATTATGCCTGGTATATGGCAATAGGCCTATTACATGGGACTCGTAACATAAATAATTAAAAGTAGGTGTTACATTGTTCAGTGGCATAATGTGCACCTCTGCTTACCCCTTCGGGGGTAAAAGGCGTGATGTTATGTGATAAATAAACAGTACCTATTGTCAGTTACAGTATGATTGTTTGTATTGCCAATTATTATCTACAGCTTGTAGCAACGAATCATTATGATTTTAAATTAATAACATTTAAATATTATTAATTTAAAATCATAATCATTATTGCTTCTTTTAAAAAACACTTATTATTTGAGATAGTTTGTATTACCAATAAACCATAAGTTTTAACGACGAATCATTATAGTTTAATAAAAATGATTATTTTACCAATTAAGGAGTATTTTATTTAATTTATCTATTTATTTTGACTTTTTAGATACCAATATTAGAATGCTTAGACTAGGCCATACCAGTTTATCCTAGAGTGCGCCTATTTATATCAGGATCAACTAGTTTGTCCTAGCCTAAACTGGTTTATCCTATCGGGCTTAGGACAAATTAGTTTGAACTAGGCTATACTAGTTCATCCTAACGCGTATAGGAAGAACTAGTTTAGCCTAGGCAAAACTAGTCTTTCCTGAAATCGGGTTTGGCCGGTAACATATACAATGAGATGAACACGAACGAATGCAAGCAAATACTTAACCTCGACGTGTAATGTAACACAATCATTAACGGTTAAAACACAATTTATTTCTTAACCTTTTCAAGCTTGATTTGATTAAGTTCCTTTCATTTGCAAGTTGCTGAATGGTGCTGTTTAAATCTAAGAAACAGTGAGTAGTTCAAACAGGGTCAAATTCAGTAATTTCCAAGCATTTTGAAGAGTCTCGAGTCGCTTTCTCGAGATCCAAGGTCCACTTGTAAGTTGAACTGTTCGGTCTCCCTTCACGTACAGCCCCTGATGGAAGCACTCTTCAGCTGGCAAACTTTGATCAGTCATCTAGTTTGTTCAGATGAATTTAAACTTAGAATGATTTTAAAGAAAAACGAATAACATCACGCCTTTTATCCCCGACGGGGTAGGTAGAGATGCACATTACGGCACTTATTGCCATTGTACAATGTAACACCCACTTTTCACTATTTATATTATAAGTTCCAAGTAATAGGGGTGAGGCAACTGAGATTTTTTAAAAAACCCCGTAATACTTTGTCCGACCGGAAATCGAACCCGAGACCCCTTGTTGACCCGAGGCCAACGAGGCAGTGCAGTCATTTTGAAGAATTATGCGAAAAACGATTGGAATTAATAGTAATCCTAATCATACAATTAAACTTTTGTCAAATATTGTGGTTAACCAAATTGAAATATACGCCAATATGATTTACGTAATGAGCGAAAAGATAACAAATACAAAGCGGTACATTGAATACAAACAGATGCAAAACATCGACATCACCGGCGCTCG